CTCAGCAACTGCATTACATACATTAACACACAACCGCACAAGAGGGTAGAAGAGGGTTAAAATTCTAAAAAGTGAAAAAGGTAGGTGGAGACTGAGGGGGAGATTGGTTGCTAAACCCTGGTTCATTGAGTCTATACCCAACACATACAACAGAAATGACTCAATTCAAATACCAGAGATATGGAAGATATTATGACAGTCAGTCACATCACAAGAGGATAATAAATAGTCTTAAAATTCTATTTCAATTCAAACACATCACAACATTCTAACAGGTAGCTTATTATGACTATGAAAAAACACTCGTCCTAATTCCCATCTGATTGTATTTGATGGATAACACTCGTATTATTATTTTGAATGTAGATTATCGCATGCTGATTTTATTCAAATGTCTAATCATCAAGTTTCACTCATGTATATAAATGAAGCAAGAAATTTGTGTGAATATTGACTTGATATGATTATGAGTGGCAATAGTTTGTGCTCGAAGCGTGGTCGCATCAGTTAATATTACTGTATATCACTGCTTTTTTTAATCAATAAAAAATCTTATGTATATTGAAATTATACTCTACCAGAGTTCCTACGTTTTATACTTATACTCAATGTCTTTTGTTATTTCATATTATACTTGTACTACAATATGTTTACTGATTTGATTCCTTTATTCGATAAGTTTATTTGAAATATCACACCACAATGATTCACTTGACTATTTACAAATGGATAACGTATGGAGCACAGTTTGTGTTGTTCATAATCATACCCCGATTGAGTCACAGGGTTTCACAATGTCTTATATAGGTTTTTATTACTTTCCATATCTCCAGTATAGGTCATGCGTTATTCCGATTGCACACATGTATGGTGTTGGATCGATAAACAAAGCTTGAGTGATTAACCCTGTATACCTGTCTCGACCACAATGCCTAAGTTCCACACTTACATTAATGATAATTTCTGATTTGTGTAGTGTGTCGATAGAACAGTGGCAGAACGTTCGCCAACGCCGCAAGTGGTTCAGGATTTTGATCCTCAGCTGACGCACTCCTCGCCTATTCAGTAATTAGACTGGTAAAGAAAGGGAGGTTGGGCATGAGGCTAGCAACCCCATCCCATAAAAAATGAATAAATACCACTTCAGCTACCGAAACTTCAAAGCTCTAGTTTGAAGAAAATCTATATTTCACTGGGAATATAAAGGAATAAAGTAAACAATAAATAATAACTAGCCGACGGTATGGTGAAGTTAATGGATTTATATAATTGTGGAACTTGAAGAAGAGTAACTGTATTTATTAAAAAAAAACAAATTCTTCTGTCTCTATGTATTCTTATTTAGTAAAACACAGTGTACACGGATACGACAAACCTTACAATAAAAATTCACTTTGTAGACCTCTTCCTCTTCTTTTCATGCTATCCATGTTATATCAGAATGATCTTCACTTAATCTCTAAGTGATTTTATCCCCTGAACTTCGTTATTCAAGATACTTGGAGAAAACGTCATCAATGTACTATTTACAAATTCTGACTGCACTATGACTAACTCACTGTAACTTACAGAAGAAAGACAAAGATTTGTAAAAGCTTTCAGGAGAGATTGACTACAGTGTCGTTTGCTGTGAAAATCACTCCAAAAACTTATAGCAGTCAAGCAGTGTAAAATATACTCCTCCTGGTTTTGTCTTTTTAATTCATAGGGAACCGCAGTGAATTTCAATTTTGAAGATGACAAATTTCTTCCCGGGATACATTAGCATCACTTGTGGAATCAACGAATTTTAAATGAATTTGAAACATTTTACTAAGAGAGATTATTTCTGATAGGTAGGAGAATGTCTTTGAACCATTTGGCAGTTGCATGATATGGTGAATTTGTCCTATCCAAGATTGGACATAGTGGTACGTTCTGTTTGTGCACTTGCAGAGCCTGAGGATCGTATTTGCTCAAATGGTTTGGAGCCGATAATCGATTCGTTCCCCATCTTCCTTCAATTTGTTTCGTATGGTCTTTCTAGATACTTTGGTTACTGCTAGACGGAACAAATTGAAAGATAAGATGAAGAACGAATCGATTATCAGCACTGAATTATTTCAACAAATACGATCGTCAGGTTCCGCAATTCCGCGGTCATAATATCTACCGAAAGTGCACAAGGAGAATGACGAATTTCATTCAGCAGTCATAAAAGCTTAATGTTGTTATTCCTGACATTTGAAGTTCTGAGTTGGACAAAGTTGGTTAATCTATTTTTAGTTTATGAGCATGAAAGCCCCCTCGTTTTTAATTCCCATGACTCCTGAGTGCAGCATAGGACGCAAAGATTTCAGCCATGAAGTATTCAGTAAAGAGGGTGGCATAACTTTTACAGGGTGGGTCGGAAGCCTTACGCTCAACCTTTCCACTTCCACAAACTGAATAATGGCTAGTAGACATCTAGGAATGCATCAAGTGGGAATCGGACTGGAACCTCCTCGTAGGCTAGTGATGCACCTGTATCTAGTTCTAAGAATATTAAATCTTCTGATCAAATATTGAAAAAAATGACTGTAAGAGGAATATTGTTACTGGAAAGAAAACTTGTCAGTTCAAGCAACTGACAACGGTTAACACCAGATTCACACTATTCCATCAATACGACAAACTGTCAACTCCGTCTTCACCAAATAATTTGGTTCAGACCAACCTGTTTATTGATAAAGCTCAAGTAAATAGAAAAGACCAGCAAGCTGAAAAGGAACTGCGCATTTAGAGCCGCAGTTTCTTCGTGCAGTAATATCCGTTTATTTTTATCTCTGTAATCTATAAGAAACTAGGAAGTTTTGGTGAAAATAGACTTCAATGAATGAAATCTAAAAAGTTTTATTAACTTTCACAGTCTACTTACTACTTTCCAGTAGTTTGTCACTAATCCGTAAATTTAGTGATTTTCGTATTTCAGATAAAGAAACATAATTAGTGAAATTATGAATAATTTAATACTGAAGTTGAAAATCGAGGTAGTATCACAAATGAATCTACCAAACTCTAAGATTTGTTGAGTAATGCTGAAAGTTTATGCCTCCCTGTCAGTTGAATTTTAACTCTTGATAAGTCGTCATTCAAATCTGATCTTCAATCCATTTTTATTTGATCATAAACAAAGCACTTTAAGAACAATTTTACTTTTTTATAGGAAAGATTGTTAAGATGTGGCAAAGCGCCAATAATCCAAGAAATGGAAATCTTGAACGTTTCAATACATCCACCACTGATAACAAAAAATCTACGAAGCATTTCTATGATGCGCTATAAGATAAATGTCGGTGGCTCTGAATGATAGGAAGGAACCATCATTTTTACCGGTCAGGAGGTTTGCAAAAGCAAGTGAAATCACCTAAAATCAAATGAATCTGGGGAAAATGTGTCAAGCGTCATCAGCTGCATAGCACAAATTTGCTTTCAATAGTTTTTTTTTAAACAAATGTACAAAACGAGATGGAATCACGTACTTAAATTCGTTGAAGTCTTAGACTTAAGGGGGGGATGTTAAATGTGTTTTATGTGTTCAAAAACCATGTTTAATTACATGAAATCAGCCTTGGTAATACAATTTTAACGCTACGTAATAATATTTTCATATTTGTAATATGTAACTCTGAAGTACGACTTCATGTGACCAATATAACTGGCTATTTTTTAGCCTAACTTTCGACAGTTGCATAACAGAATGAAGAAAAGCAACTTTTTGATTGTGTAATAATTTGAAATCAACAATGAAAAATACTGAATTATTCATTTTAGAATAGCCGGATAAAGGATGCACCAACTGACAGACTCTCAGTGTAGAACTTTAAAAAGGCGTGCAGCAGTTTAAGTTACCACCCGTCCATTTCCCCCACTGCAGGTATAGAAAAGAGAGGAAAAATGCGATTTAAAATAACTACACGTAGTAGAAATGTGAGGGAGATGCAATAGCAGCGGAGAGAAACATATGGATTCAAGGGATCTAGGGGGTAACAAGGGAGTAAATGCATCTGCGAGACTGGGAATGATTTTGAACCATATCACCAATAGTCTTCAGTCACTGATTCTTAACATCCCAAGGTCCCCAGCCAGATGGTCGACATCTTCCAAGATAAAATCAGCCGTCGAAGAATTCATGAACTGGTTCAGTGTGTTCATTTGATCACCACTAACTTTTCCCATCCTAATCCTTTATTAACCAACATTAAACGATGAGGAAAGCCGTAGTACGGCGTGCGCAATACATGTCCTAGTCAGATAAACCGATACAGCTTCACAACCTCATCGATTAACTTACACTCCTTACCTAACACTCTACGCCTTATCTAAATATCGTTCAGTATATTGTAACACTTAACATGGGAGACAGAACACAAGCATCTATGGTCAAAGACAAATAACCTTCTCATATCATTCATTTTTAGTGACCATGTCTCACAGCCGTAAAGTAGGACAGACTCAACTGTTCCTTAGTGCACACGTCGTTTGATCGATATTCAGATATCATGTCCACGTTACAATTGACGTAAATCAATCAATAAGTTTCATACTAGCATGTGTATCCGTATTAAGGTTTTGTCAGAAATCACTTCATTAGAGCTGACACAACTTTCTAGATAACTGAAGTGGTCAGCGAAGTGGCTCTACCACTTCACTGCCTATCTTTAAGCTAGGAGTCAGTGCATTCCAATCCTGCAGCACGATCTTACACTTAACAGGAGTGAATCACATACCAAATATTCGAAGACTACTCCTCCTCAAGGGGTTCATAACACTCCGTATTTTTTCTTCACCTGGGAGGACAATATCATTTGCATACTCGAATCGATAAGGCTGTTTGTTCCCTAGAAAAAGGATACATATGTTCTTCTATTAGTAGACTGGAGGGAACAATTCTCAATTCAAGAGAAAAAAAACAACAACTGAACTAATAAATTCATTTTTTATTTATTTATAAACCATAACCATAAACAAAAGCTAACAGTTTATTTAATATTTTTACAAGCGAACAGTCTACACTTTCCATGACAACATTCGCTACTTTTTATACACGTATCACCAAAATCCAGACACTTGACGCATTTATTCACTCCACCCATTTTACAGACTAGATTGTCACAACACCTGCTGAATACAGTTTTACTACACGATTCATTGAGTTTTCTACATTGAAGAGCATCTAGGAAAGCAGAAAAAGAAGGAGGAAGAATAAGAACTACAGTGTCAGCTTTTTCGTAAAAATGGTGAGCCTTTCTTCATTATTTGAAAAATTAATTTTTTAAATTTTTTCCTTCACGTTCCCCAGTGGAACATAGGGCTCCAAGCTATTAGCTTGAAGTTTCTGTAACAGTGTTTATTCTTTCACAGGATGGGGTTGCTAGCCTCATGCCCAACCTTTCCTCTTTACCAACATTATTTCTGGCTTAGCGAGGTAAAGGAGTGCGCCAGTGGCGGGGGATCGAACCCCGGACCATGTGCATGGCAGGCGAGCGTCCTAACCGCCATACCACCGACGCCTTTCTTCATTAGTACATTTTAAATCTCTGAAAATCAATCGAATACTGACTGGGAAATGACTATAGGATAGAGAATAGCTCCATTATGGATAAGATTTTATTTTGATAAATCACACAGTATTGTTTTACAGGAATATTAACTGATGCGACCACGTTTCGAGTACAAACTACCGCTTCTCATAATCATATCAAGTTACTCATACAACTTTCACACACTTTCACAGTGTTAAAAACAGAACTTATCATCTCTAGCTTCTTCACACATATAAACTGATAAGTAGAATCGCAAAATGAACAAGGAGAATTAGCTGTGATGTTAGATTGTAAAAAACGAAACGAATAGAAGAAGGCAAACTGCACACTAGTGTTTATAAAGAGCCAACGCATTCCGCTAATCGACTTTAATTCATCTCATCCATTAACTGTTAAGACAGGCTAAGTTAAGTATCCGCCAAACCGAGCAGTATCACTAAGTAGTACAAGAAAAGACCTAAATGATGAAATGAAACAGAAAGAAGAAGCGTTGGTGTTAAATAACTAACTATCCTATGAAATTCATTAGGAAGATCACTAAAGACCAAAAACAAAATAAAATTAATTGTGGAACTATTAATGATAACATAAATAAGAGAGAATATAACGCATCCACTGTTATACCATATGAGGAGGGGACATCTGAGACCAGCCCCTATGTAGGATTCTCAATAAAGCAGGAATTAGAGTGGCATTTAAACCTACAGACTCACTTAGAGACAAGTTCTGTAGGTTAAAAGACCCTGTTGACCAGATTAGACAAAATAATATAATTTACAAAATACTCTGCAATGACTGTGAGGTCAACTACATAGGTCAAACTAGTAGGCCGGGTATAATCAGATGGTCGGAACATAGGAATTTAGCTAGGATAAGAATGGTTGACCCCGAGAAGATAAATAATTTAGGAAAAAGCTCAGCAATTGCACTACATGCATTAACACAAAACCACACAACAGGGTGGGACTGAGTCAAAGTTCTAAAGAGTAATGTAGGTAGGTGGAGAACGAGAGAACGTGTCCACGTGGACCCGGATGAATCGTACGATTGCATATAATCTCTTATCTTCTCTTCTCACAGTCTCCTCCGTGTCACCCTCACACCGACCACGCACTCGTCGTTTCCCATTGCGATCACAATCGAGCTCTCTTTTCGTATGCGATGTAATTCGATGGTCTCCTCAACGTACGCCCAACCCATCTCCACTTTTTCCTACATATTTGTTGAGCGATCGGCTCTTAGTCAGCTTGTTCCCATACTTTCTTGTTATTAATTCTCTCTGACCCGCCATTTGATCCTCATTATGGAGCCAGCTTAGGCAACTGTTGATAGAAGTCTGCGATAGTCTGTTGAAAATCCTTTTCGTGACACACACGCAATGCAAGTTGCTGACCTGTATAGGAGAACCAACAAACTAACTCCCCATTTGTTGTAAATGTCGTGGAGTACAGAAGATTTCCAAACTGGTTTCAGGTGTATATTGCCTTTCCGATTCTGACTGGCTAGCGTTGACATCTTAATCCTTTCCGTCTGTGGTTGGAAATGTGTTTCCTGGTGAAAAAAGTAAAGGAAATAATCTCTGTTAAATCTCTCTCTCTCTCTCTCTTTGATATTGATTGGTGTTGGTTGTTGCTGCTGTTGGTTGGCTGGTTATCTTCATCACCTCCGTTTTCTCTATGTTCACCTTGAATCTTGTCTTCATAGCCTGCCAGCCTCTTTGGCCAGTTTGTTGGTTTTCGCCTGCTAGTAGTCTTCAAGTTTGTGTGATATCAGACTTAAATAATCTGTGAAATCTCGATTTTTCGGGCGTCTTCTTATCGGTGGTCTAGCGAATTCCTGTCTCCTCGCTCCTAACGCACAATCCAGTTCACCACAATTAAGAATATCATCGACGATAATAGATAGCCGTGTCTTTCTCCTACACTCAATTCAAAGGCTTCTCTGAGTTTCCCATTGTGGATCACCTGACACGTGCCACTGTCATATAGCCAGTCAACTGTTGAATGAGGTTGATAAAGACTTGGGCAATGTACGCCATACTGTTGAAGTAGAATGAAGCCCATATTATGATTATTATGAAGGGAAGTATTTTAAAAAAAAAAGTTATAAACTGTAATACAGAGCACTTTCAGAGACTTACCAACTGGTGTGTTGATATACATAAACACAATGGACAGAATGTATAGGGCAGATAATATCTGTTTCATTACTCTGAGCAACGTTACACTTTTTCTGAAGTGCTGTATGCTTTAAATATACTTATATATATATATATATTCGCCTGTTTGATTTTATAAATACATTGAAGGCTCAAGGTGATTGATTACTTTGATTTGATTTGAAGTAAAGTAGATAAATATTTCAAGACTTGAAACAAAACCCTCTTAACTATGTTGACATAATTGACACATTTAACCTTTATGTCATGAATTTTCATAGATTTAAAATGAAGTAACATTATTACTTGTATTGATTAGTTCATTTCATTGAATGTCTACAACTTTTAGCTGAATCAATTTAAAATTATTAACAGATTCCTAATAATAAAGGTAAGGAGATTGAGGAAAACGTATATCAAGTCAGCACATGAATTAACATCGGTTGAAGAACGACTGAAAGTCAAAAAAAAATACTGGAGAGCTGTTTCGTTCCAGTTTGGGACCCTTTAGCAGTACCAGGGCGAAATAGCTGTCCAGTACTCCCTGCAGGTTTTCCAATGCTTCTCTAACTGATGTCAGCTCATGATGAAATCCTGCAACCAATCAAACAAAATCCTTACAAAAACAAATACTTGGAAAAAGTATTATTTACTGTCGCGAATTTTTAAAGTGTTTAAGACGAAATGACTTTCAAACTTTGTAAAAAAGCTAAGAAAAAGCGTCGCGGAGGTTGGTGATGCGTATTAAAATGCATATCTATACATCGCATTACTGTTTCTGTAATGGTTATTACTAACTTCCATCCTCTTCCCAGCAAGATTATGAGTCCACAGTCCCTCTTATCCTATGATGCCTGTCACAACATACTTATAATCATGCTACAAGGAAATTGACTCCCTGGTCTTTAGGATGATTGACTAATATCTCTAAATTATTACTATTGTTCCCTTGGGTTCCTAGTGCAATATATAGGGCTTTAACTGCACGTCTCCACTTGATCCTGTCTTCCTTCTGCTGTACATGCTGTACATGCATCCATCCATGTTAGTCCATACTCTTTCAACTCCTCTTCACACGATCTCCTCCATGTCACCGACCCTTGCACTGACGTCCCACTCGCCGCTTCCCTTTCGGCCTGGTTCCACTGGCCCAATGGCCTGACGCTCGCGCGATGTCACCCAGCGGCCGGCCTCCTCAGCCGGGAGTGTCCAATCCATCTCCACTTTCTCCTGCATATTTGTTGGTTGGCGATTGGTTCTTGTTTTGTTTGTTTGTTCCCAGCCATAGTTTCTTGTTGGTGATTGTTTCCGGCCCGGCCCGGCCCGGCCATCTGATCTTCAGTATAGATCCAGCGAAGATAGTTGTTGTTTGATGAAGGTCTGTAATAGGCTGTTGGAAATATTCTTTGTGACCCGCCCACCAAGGTTCTGATCCGTATAGGAGAACTGACTGACTGACTTGACGTTGTCTGTATTGAAAATCCCACCGAATTTTGTTGTTGATGCTGAGTGACGAAGATTTCCAGATTGTTTTCAGGTTGGTTGATGAATGTGTTTCTCGCCTTCCCGATTCTCGCTGGATTTGACATCCTCGTCCGTTCCGACTGCCTGCAGTTGAGGAGGACAATGCTCCCTAGATAAGTGAAGTGAATGAAATAAGCCCTTTCAAATTCCTCCTGTTGATGGTGATTGTCGCTGGATGTTGCTGTTAGTGGTTGTTTATTTTCATAACCTAGGTCTTGTCTATGTTCACCTGGAGTCCTATCTACACTACCTGCTTCTTCGACCAGTCTGTGGGTTTTCGCTTGTAAGTCTTCGATTTTGTGTGACATCAAACATAAATCATCCACGCGCGAAATCCAGTTTTTCTAGGTTCTTCACGTCTGTCTGTCCAGGTTATTCCTGTCTTTTCGTTTCCCACTTACTGTCTGACGCATAATCCAATCAGTCCACCACAATTAGGAATATCATCGTGGGTGATAATAAGCACCCTTGTCTGACTCCTGTGTTTACTCCAAACACAGGGGTAAAAATGTAAAAAAACTGACCATTTTTTTCTTTATTATCTAATTTTAAATTATCTAATCTGTGTTTTAGTTCAAAAGAATTAATTAGTCTAGATTTCGAGCGGATTTTAAGGGGATTAAATACCATGGTTAACTATTTAGATAATTCATAGTTAGGTGAATTTCTAAAATCAACTCTAGGTCTAATATACGGTATCCTGACTTGTGAACTTTAACAACACCATACACCCAACTGAGGTTGTTAGTTTTCGACATTAAATTAAACCATTTAGACTCACCTAGAAACGGCTTCATTCGGCGTATGAGGTCCGCTGTAGATTTCTTAACCTTATTCATAACTGTCTAATGATTTCTTAATTTCCTCATATGGTTTTGTTTGTATGTGAGTATTTACCTTGTCCAAATAGTCTGATTTGTGTAATACTACTGTTGCATTTCCTTTGTCTGACTTTGTGATTACTATATCCTTGTTATTCTTAATGTGTTTAAGGACTTCTAGGAGAGATGTACTTTAGATACTTTTGTAAAGTATGATCAATGCAATTACAGTTCATTAAAGATGCTTAAATTATAATAGTAATAAACATATGATAGCGAATAGAATATCAACTAAAATTAGGGAAATTTAACAAAAATTCAGGATTATTCAAACTTGGATGGCCAAGGTAATGATAATATCTGAACTAACTTCTTGTGGATGCATAAATTACTCCTGTTAATATGGATCCTCAGCAATATTTAGTAGTCGGACTCTTAAGGCAAAATTGAGATTCGTAGGTATGTGATAAATGACCCTGAAAGCATGGTTAACGTCAATCTTGTGTTCTGTATCCACAAGATGAGACAGAATAGCGCTGCGCATAGATTTTGTTTGTCCTTTGCTTAACCACGCAGAGTGATGTTCGGAAATTCGACAAGAAACAGGTCTAATTGTACCGCCTATGTAACTGGCTCTACAGGAGCAGTTAAATTGGTAGATACACATGGAAGAGGCTAAATTAGGCAGTTTGTCTTTTACTCCCGAACGCAGAAGAGGAGTGGTTTTAAAGATACAGCATAATTCAGCAGCAGAGACGCGCAGTTGAAGCCCTATGTTCCTCTAGGAATTAAAAGAAATAATAATAATACTTTAGATGCTGCTGTCTTACATTATAACACTGTTTCCGGTTTAGAAAAAAGGAGCTAAATATAATAGATGTGCCACCGTTGGCTATGCATCCGCTTTGGACAGTTAACTGAGATATCTATTGTTAAATAAACTTTTCTTCACACAACCTGAGTCTTGAGCTATTAATTGATTGCTTCCTTATTTGCCTAACAGAAAGCTATATAATGTACATAGAGGCGAATTCACCTCTGCCCTGCTTTCTGAAGCTGGAGTTCCTCATGTTGCTGTTCTCAATTCTCTTCTTTTTTCTTTCCTCTTTCTAACGAAATCACCATCTTTAAAGTCTCTGATGATCTGACTTTCTTGTTACCGGTTTCATCCCGACCTGACTATTCCAAACTGAATAGCTTTTTTGTCAGATGTCAGCCAGTGGTGCAAGTTAAACCTGTCATACGTTAGATCCCTCTAAGTGTCAGACAGTTAGCTTTACCTTCAAGCATAGACCTGATCTACACGAAGTGGTTCGTTCCTTAAGCATAAAAAGCACTGATAATATTAAAAACTAAGTCAAGTGTAAAACACCTTGGAATAGTTCTTTCCTCTGAATTTTCGTGGTCGTGCCTTATATTGTCAATTTCTAAGAAAATGTTCCATGTAATCTTTTACATTAAGAAGTTAAGATAATCAGGTAGGTATTACTCAACCTCTATACTTACAATTTGTTAACTCTTGTGTCTTACCTATTGTTCTTTACTCTCTATTCCATAATCTTTCCTTAACTACTCAAAAAGGACAATAAGACATTGTGAAGGGTATTAAGGGTTGTTACTATGGCAAGTGGTGTACCTTGTAAGTTAGCTCGTTACTATTGTAGTCGACAGACATTTGAACTCATGTGACAAGTGGTCTAAATCCATATTTTCAAGGATTGGATTTGTAGGGATTTTGTTTGATTGGATGGAGGATTTCGTCATGAGCTGATGAAATCAGTTAGAGAACCAGTGGAAAACCAGAACTGGAGTATTGGACAGTTAGCTGTTTCGTCAGCCTAGTTTGGGACTTTTCATCAGTGCGCACCCAAAACAAGGGGTTCAAACCCAGTACTTTCTGGTTACAAGGCTAGCAGGCTCGTAGACCATCCAATGACCAGCCCATGAAGTCTAAGTTCTGTCAATTCACGATATAACGAGACCATTTCACAATGTCTTCTTCGATGAGTTATTGCCTCATCTTTAACCTGCTGTACCCTACTTGTCACGGCTTCCCACTAGAACCCCAGGCCACTGCTTGAATAAAGACATTCACTAGTGGGCATCAGATTAATTTTCAAGTATTGCTTTTGTAGGGATTTTGTTTAATTGGATGGAGGATTTCATCATGAGCTGACATCCATATTGTCTGACTCTTAGAACCCTTTTTATTCACAACTCTCTCTCTCTCTGTCTTGCATCTCATTAGGTAGAACTAGAAGTCATTATAAGAAAAGTTATACATTCTTAAAATCAAGTACAAAAACCCAATGATACCCGAGTTTTATATGATAGAGAAAGTATCAAGCATAAAAGGTATAACTTACCTTGTAAGTAACAAAATAATGACCTTTTTTTATCTCTTATTTGTAATTTATAGTGACACCATTTCTATTATCTTATAATTTCAGTGATTAATGTTAGTATTATTATATGTACTTTATACTTTTTGTACAATTTTGACTTAATTGTTACTATTGATGCTAGAAAAAGTTGCCATTAACACTTCTGGTTACTTATACAATAGAATGTTTTATTTTTTTGAGTAAATTAGGTGCACTACTGTAACAAATGCTGAAAATTCTATACTGTATGACGAATACTGTTTTGGAACAAAACA